CGCCGTTCTCCCGCGGCCCTCACTCGTCCTGCTCGCCACAGTAAACATGACTCGTGTCGTTCTCCCGCGGCCCTCACTCGTCCTGCTCGCCACAGTAAACATGACTCGTGTCGTTCTCCCGCGGCCCTCACTCGTCCTGCTCGCCACAGTAAACATGACTCGTGTCGTTCTCCCGCGGCCCTCACTCGTCCTGCTCGCCACAGTAAACATGACTCGTGTCGTTCTCCCGCGGCCCTCACTCGTCCTGCTCGCCACAGTAAACATGACTCGTGTCGTTCTCCCGCGGCCCTCACTCGTCCTGCTCGCCACAGTAAACATGACTCACACCGTTCTCCCGCTGCCCTCACTCGTCCTGCTCGCCACAGTAAACATGACTCGTGTCGTTCTCCCGCGGCCCTCACTCGTCCTGCTCGCCACAGTAAACATGACTCGTGTCGTTCTCCCGCGGCCCTCACTCGTCCTGCTCGCCACAGTAAACATGACTCGAGCCGTTCTCCCTCTGCCCTCACTCGTCCTGCTCGCCACAGTAAACATGACTCGTGCCGTTCTCCCGCGGCCCTCACTTGTCCTGCTCGCCACAGTAAACATGACTCGCGCCGTTCTCCCGCGGCCCTCACTCGTCCTGCTCGCCACATTAAACATGACTCGCGTCGTTCTCCCGCGGCCCTCACTCGTCCTGCTCGCCACAGTAAACATGACTCGCGCCGTTCTCCCGCGGCCCTCACTCGTCCTGATCGCCACAGTAAACATGACTCGTGCCGTTCTCCCGCGGCCCTCACTCGTCCTGCTCGCCACAGTAAACATGACTCGCGCGTTCTCCCGCGGCCCTCACTCGTCCTGCTCGCCACAGTAAACATGACTCGTGCCGTTCTCCCGCGGCCCTCACTCGTCCTGATCGCCACAGTAAACATGACTCGTGCCGTTCTCCCGCGGCCCTCACTCGTCCTGCTCGCCACAGTAAACATGACTCGTGCCGTTCTCCCGCGGCCCTCACTCGTCCTGCTCGCCACAGTAAACATGACTCGCGCCGTTCTCCCGCGGCCCTCACTCGTCCTGCTCGCCACAGTAAACATGACTCGTGCCGTTCTCCCGCGGCCCTCACTCGTCCTGCTCGCCACAGTAAACATGACTCGTGCCGTTCTCCCGCGGCCCTCACTCGTCCTGCTCGCCACAGTAAACATGACTCGTGCGTTCTCCCGCGGCCCTCACTCGTCCTGCTCGCCACAGTAAACATGACTCGTGCCGTTCTCCCGCGGCCCTCACTCGTCCTGCTCGCCACAGTAAACATGACTCGCGCGTTCTCCCGCGGCCCTCACTCGTCCTGCTCGCCACAGTAAACATGACTCGTGTCGTTCTCCCGCGGCCCTCACTCGTCCTGCTCGCCACAGTAAACATGACTCGCGTCGTTCTCCCGCGGCCCTCACTCGTCCTGCTCGCCACAGTAAACATGACTCGTGCCGTTCTCCCGCGGCCCTCACTCGTCCTGCTCGCCACAGTAAACATGACTCGCGCGTTCTCCCGCGGCCCTCACTCGTCCTGCTCGCCACAGTAAACATGACTCGTGTCGTTCTCCCGCGGCCCTCACTCGTCCTGCTCGCCACAGTAAACATGACTCGCGTCGTTCTCCCGCGGCCCTCACTCGTCCTGCTCGCCACAGTAAACATGACTCGCGCCGTTCTCCCGCGGCCCTCACTCGTCCTGCTCGCCACAGTAAACATGACTCGCGTCGTTCTCCCGCGGCTCTCACTCGTCCTGCTCGCCACAGTAAACATGACTCGCGCCGTTCTCCCGCGGCCCTCACTCGTCCTGCTTGCCACAGTAAACATGACTCGCGCCGTTCTCCCGCGGCCCTCACTCGTCCTGATCGCCACAGTAAACATGACTCGTGCCGTTCTCCCGCGGCCCTCACTCGTCCTGCTCGCCACAGTAAACATGACTCGTGCCGTTCTCCCGCGGCCCTCACTCGTCCTGATCGCCACAGTAAACATGACTCGTGCCGTTCTCCCGCGGCCCTCACTCGTCCTGCTCGCCACAGTAAACATGACTCGTGCCGTTCTCCCGCGGCCCTCACTCGTCCTGCTCGCCACAGTAAACATGACTCGTGCCGTTCTCCCGCGGCCCTCACTCGTCCTGCTCGCCACAGTAAACATGACTCGCGCGTTCTCCCGCGGCCCTCACTCGTCCTGCTCGCCACAGTAAACATGACTCGTGTCGTTCTCCCGCGGCCCTCACTCGTCCTGCTCGCCACAGTAAACATGACTCGCGTCGTTCTCCCGCGGCTCTCACTCGTCCTGCTCGCCACAGTAAACATAATGAATGGTGACTGTAGAACGCAAAAGCCGAATCCCGAACATTTTGGGCGATCTCAAAACACATTTTCGAACTCACTAGTAGCCTATACTTGTTGTTTAACTACTGCGCTCTGTTACCGGTAGGCGTGGCCTCCTAGGGCAGCGAAGCAAGTGCATTCTGGGAGTTGTTGTCTTTCATCCACATAAGCCAAAAATACATTTTCTGGCTTTTCTCAGTCTACAGTAGAAAGCTCCAAATTCAAAAATAATTTCACATTTCTTCTACATAAATGACCCATTTTAAATACATATTCATCTTCGCAGAGGTGAAGTATCCCTTTAATTTGAGATGGCTTTATCTGAGAGCTGAGAGGATGTTGCAGTACACTATCATATATATCAGTGGTTTTCAGACCCTCTCTGCAGATTCTGTATGTCTCCTTCACCAGACACACTCAGTTGAGTTCATAGAGCCGTGTTCTGATGATAAACTCCTCATCTGAATCAGCTGGATTAAAACACGAGACATACAGCATATGCAGAGCGGTGGGTTCCCAGGACTGGGGTTCAGAACCACTTATAGAAAATAACTGTACATTTCTATCATGTATACTAAGATTACAAGTATTGAGTGATAATTGGATGTCTTTATAGCATGGATGCATCTAAAGAAGACGGGTTGTCCTTGGGAAGACTTGTAAACGATCAGACCAGAAATCCTACTTGCAAAATGAGAACCGTTGAAGTGAGCAGAAAACCTCACCTGTGTCTCTTTGCTGTACGAGACATTCTACCAGGAGAAGAAATCACTTACAATTATGGAGACTCAGATTGGCCATGGCGAGTCAAGGTACTATCAAGAAAATGCTAAAGAGATTGATCAGTAATTCATGATAATCTTTTACTGTCATTCTGATTAGTTACCATGTGATTGTGGTCTCATATTTCTGAAGCCTTTAAATCAAGCATCAGCAGAATCCACTGATAAAAAGCCAGCCAGCAGTTTGGGCCCGCAGAAATCGGTAGGTCCACTTTAAAACATCTGTATCATTATATTATTGACTATTTCAGCTTAGAGATGTGTGTGAAAGAAATGATAGTTAAAGTGTAGGACAGCTAGAGAAATGAACATAAACAAGTTTTTCTGTCCTTCACAAATATTTCCTGCTTTCTTAGCCCCATTGTGCAGCTTCTCTTCCCTTTCCTGAATTGGACAAGGTGAACAGCAAGGGTCCACATAAGCTGTCAGGCAAAGCAAGAACATCAAGGAATAAAACGGTAACCATCTCATACATGCAGCAGCGATCTACTGATGTTTACTGCCAGCTAGTTAAAAGTGCAGTCAGTGATTTCTGATAAACACTGTTGATATTTAAAATCGACAGCCAAACAAACACACACCTCCCTTCATTGCTCCGCCCCCAAAATAATGAACAACACAGGCAACCAGTTGACTACAGGTGCATATCCACTTCATCCAGCACACGTGTGTAATAGTTGTGGCACGTTCGGATCATTTTACTGACTTGGATCTTTGAATCTCGTTCATCAAAATTAACAAATCTTTTTTCGAAAACCTTTTGTTCATTTCAGTAGAATGTATTTAAAATGGTAGCCAAATTCCCCAAACACATCAAATGTTGATCGCATTTAGAATAAGAAAAAAAGTGCGATGCAAGGAAAAGGCCAAATTATGAGAGACGGAAATGATTCATTAATTTATTTGGGTCTTCAGGCTATGCAGTCTGTTAGTTACCTCACCTCCCGATCTAAGCCGTTCGTTCATCCTGTGACATCCTCATAAACTTAACTTTGCAGTCTGTAGTACCGGATACGTACACGTTTCGAGTCTATCGACTTCGGGTTCAAGTCATTCGTTCATCACGTGGCAGCCCCATTGAGCTATGCAGTCTGTAGTACCGGATACGTACACGTTTCGAGTCTATCGACTTCGGGTTCAAGTCATTCGTTCATCACGTGGCAGCCCCATTGAGCTATGCAGTCAATACTGGATGCAGAATTGATTAGTTCATATTTTGAGTCTTCGAGGACTTGAGAGGTGAACTAATCATTTATCTTTCCAGTACTGACAGCATAGCCTCAATGGGACTGATGGGAAGAACGAAGGACCCAAAGACTCGAGTGATTTAACTAATCATTTCTGTTTCCAGTACAGAACCTATAGGATGTTGTGTGTGCGCAGTCAACACAAAATTAAAGAATCACTCTCTGAGACAACTCAGTAGTCACGAGTCATTAAAGATTGTTCAAAATGTCTATCACACAAACAAGCCCCCCCGTTGGACCCCATTGAAGTCACTATATGGAGAAACACCTGGAGTGTGTTCCTCAAAAACCTTCATTTCTTTTACACTGAAGAAAGAAAGACATGAACATCTTAGATGGTGTGATGATGGCGAGTAAATTATCAGGAAATTTTAATTCTGAAGTGAACTAATCATTTAAGTAGTTATTGGTTCAGAGTTTTAATGTCTGAACCAGTGTAACTATTAATTTGACTATTGTCACAATTTTGTTGTTTTTTATTTTATTAATGATCTTTGCTTTGAAGTGTGCAAAACACGTTTCTTTATTTTTTGTTTACCCCTACAGTGTGTTTGTTTTGTTTTATATGGGTGCCACAGTTTTCAATATTTTTAATGTCATTTTATTCTTGTTTAAGCTAAATATCTCTTTATATATCTGCAGAAGCGGTTTCAATCAAGACTGTTACAGTCATCCTCAGTCGCATCCATATCTGGTGCACCCTCTTCATCAGCACCCTGTGCTGTGTCCACCTCTATAATGGCCTCATCAACCTCATGCCCTCCTGCCCTGTCCTCATCAACATCAACACCTCCCACGTCACCTTCATCATCCTCGCCTGTGCAGCCTTCATCATCCTCGCCTGTGCAGCCTTCATCATCCTCGCCTGTGCAGCCTTCATCATCCTCGCCTGTGCAGCCTTCATCATCCTCGCCTGTGCAGCCTTCATCATCCTCGCCTGGGCAGCCTTCATCAGCCTCGCCTGGGCAGCCTTCATCATCCTCGCCTGTGCAGCCTTCATCAGCCTCGCCTGGGCAGCCTTCATCAGCCTTGCCTGGGCAGCCTTCATCATCCTCGCCTGGGCAGCCTTCATCAGCCTCGCCTGGGCAGCCTTCATCAGCCTCGCCTGGGCAGCCTTCATCATCCTCGCCTGGGCAGCCTTCATCAGCCTCGCCTGGGCAGCCTTCATCAGCCTCGCCTGGGCAGCCTTCATCAGCCTCGCCTGGGCAGCCTTCATCATCCTCGCCTGTGCAGCCTTCATCAGCCTCGCCTGGGCAGCCTTCATCAGCCTGGCCTGGGCAGCCTTCATCATCCTCGCCTGGGCAGCCTTCATCAGCCTCGCCTGTGCAGCCTTCATCATCCTCGCCTGTGCAGCCTTCATCAGCCTCGCCTGGGCAGCCTTCATCATCCTCGCCTGTGAAGCCTTCATCAGCCTCGTCTGTGCAGCCTTCATCAGCCTCGCCTGGGCAGCCTTCATCATCCTCGCCTAGGCAGCCTTCATCAGCCTCGCCTGTGCAGCCTTCATCAGCCTCACCTGGGCAGCCTTCATCAGCCTCGCCTGGGCAGCCTTCATCAGCCTCGCCTGGGCAGCCTTCATCAGCCTCGCCTGGGCAGCCTTCATCATCCTCGCCTGTGCAGCCTTCATCAGCCTCGCCTGGGCAGCCTTCATCAGCCTCGCCTGGGCAGCCTTCATCAGCCTCGCCTGGGCAGCCTTCATCATCCTCGCCTGTGCAGCCTTCATCAGCCTCGCCTGGGCAGCCTTCATCATCCTCGCCTGGGCAGCCTTCATCAGCCTCGTCTGTGCAGCCTTCATCAGCCTCGCCTGGGCAGCCTTCATCAGCCTCGCCTGTGCAGCCTTCATCAGCCTCGCCTGTGCAGCCTTCATCAGCCTCGCCTGGGCAGCCTTCATCATCCTCGCCTGTGCAGCCTTCATCAGCCTCGTCTGTGCAGCCTTCATCAGCCTCGCCTGGGCAGCCTTCATCAGCCTCGCCTGGGCAGCCTTCATCAGCCTCGCCTGGGCAGCCTTCATCAGCCTGGCCTGGGCAGCCTTCATCAGCCTCGCCTGTGCAGCCTTCATCAGCCTCGCCTGTGCAGCCTTCATCAGCCTCGCCTGGGCAGCCTTCATCATCCTCGCCTGGGCAGCCTTCATCAGCCTCGCCTGGGCAGCCTTCATCAGCCTCGTCTGTGCAGCCTTCATCATCCTCGCCTGGGCAGCCTTCATCATCCTCGCCTGGGCAGCCTTCATCATCCTCGCCTGGGCAGCCTTCATCATCCTCGCCTGGGCAGCCTTCATCATCCTCGCCTGTGCAGCCTTCATCAGCCTCGCCTGGGCAGCCTTCATCATCCTCGCCTGGGCAGCCTTCATCAGCCTGGCCTGGGCAGCCTTCATCAGCCTGGCCTGGGCAGCCTTCATCATCCTCGCCTGTGCAGCCTTCATCATCCTCACCTGGGCAGCCTTCATCAGCCTCGCCTGGGCAGCCTTCATCAGCCTCGCCTGGGCAGCCTTCATCAGCCTGGCCTGTGCAGCCTTCATCAGCCTCGCCTGTGCAGCCTTCATCAGCCTCGCCTGTGCAGCCTTCATCAGCCTCGCCTGTGCAGCCTTCATCATCCTCGCCTGTGAAGCCCTCATCGCCTTATGCGCAGCATTCATCATCCTCATCCTCGCCTGCTCCACCCTTATCTTCACCTTGTGCTGTGTCAACACCAGTGGTTCACTCATCACAGGTGTCTGAGACACTCTCATGGGAGGTGGGTAGATTCATTTGCTGAATTATTGGGATGGTCGGGGTGTATTGCACTGGTAGAACTAACAATAGATTATATGAAATTATATATCATTTATATTGGTTTGTATTCATCCTCTTCCAGATATCCTCTTTAAGGCCATCAAGAAAAAGACAGGTATGTGACTTGCCATGTGATACTTTATATGCAATTTTTTTTTGCATAATTATGAATTGGCTTGCATAATAGTATCCGCAATATGATGAAACGTAATGTTACAGCAACCACTGCCTTGAGTAAGTGTTAAATTCTCTCATTCAGTATTCCGGAAGTTCCGTCTGTGACACAGACTACAGCGATGTCACAGACTACAGCGATGTTGACTACATACCAAAAATCAGCTCCGATGAATCGGATGGTAGTTCTTCTGGACATGACATGGTCAAAAGTGCTTTGATACATCCAACATCTCCCAACGAGGCAGGTAGTTCATCTGATCAATTTATGACCGCACCATCACCAAAAAAGATGAAATGCCAATCTAAAGAGACAAACACTTTGTCTGGTGAAAAGACTTTTATTCAGTCAATGCCATCACCAAAGCAGGAACGCAAGGCGTACAACAAGAAGCAGTATTGCCTTTATTGCTCTAAGCCATATTCAAAAATGGCAAGACACCTTGAATTTGTCCATCGCAACGAAGTGGGGGTTGTAAAGGCAATAGCATTTCCAAAACATTCCAAAGAAAGACAAGTCCAGTTAAACCTCCTTAGAAAAAGGGGCAACTTTGCCCACAACACAGATGTGGTGAGACAAGGACATGGGGAGATGATTGCCTGCTACCGTCCAAAAAATAGACAAAGAGCCAAAGAATTTATTCACTGCATTTACTGCCAAGGGCTTTACAACAAGCATAGCCTTTGGAAGCATATCAAAAACTGTCCCCTTAAACCTAAAGAGGATGATGCCCAGGGCAGGAAAAGAGTTCGATCTCTGTGTGCTTTAAACACACCAGTTGGCTTAGAAGTGAGCAAAGGTTTCAAGAAAATACTGTCCTTTATGAACTATGATGAAGTTTCGCGTGTAGTTCATACTGACAGATGCATCATGCAGCTGGGGGAGCACATGTTCAACAGGATGGGGTCTGATGTGACCAAACATGACTACATCAGACAGAAGATGAGAGAAGTAGGCAGACTTCTTCTTGAAGCAAGGAAGATTACCCCACTGAGAACAATGGTAGACTTCTTCATACCAGCAAACTTCAAACATGTCATAGCAGCTGTTAAAGTTTTATGTGGCTACAATGAAGAGAAAAACTCCTACCGCATTCCTTCTTTAGCTCTCAAACTTGGGCATTCTTTAAACAAGGTCTGTAGCATTGTTGAGAGCAATGCCATGATGTATGGAGATCATGATCGTGCTGAATGCGCCCGAGACTTCAGGAAAATACACCAGGCAAGGTGGAATGAGTACATTTCTGCTGGTGCTATAACTACATTGAAAGAAGCCAAGTGGAACACACCACAGATCATTCCTTTCACTCAGGATGTCAAAGTCCTGCACACACATCTTGAAAAGAAACACGATGGGCTCCTAAGTAAGCTCAGAACTTGCCCTTCTGCTGACAGCTACTCTGCTCTAGCCAAGGTCACACTGTCCCAGGTCATCCTGTTCAACCGAAGGAGAGAAGGTGAGGTATCCCGGATGCTTTTGTCAGCTTTTAAAAGTAGGGATTCTTCTGAGCTACACAAAGACATTGCCATCTGTCTGTCTGAGTTTGAGAGGAAGCTGTGTCTGCACTTCACAAGAGTTGAGATCCGGGGTAAACGAGGCAGAAAGGTTCCTGTGCTCCTCAAGCCTTCCATGGTTTCTGCCATGGAGCTGCTCGTTGAAACGCGGGAGCTTTGTGGTGTTCCAGCAGAGAATCCCTTTATGTTTGCCAGATGTGGAGCAATGTCAGCCTACAGAGGTGGAGAGTGCATCAACAAAGCTGCTTGCGAATGTGGCATAAAGAACCCTGAAGCACTGTCATCAACTAGGCTCAGGAAACACATAGCAACCATGTCTAAAATTCTTAACCTTGATGAGAATGAAGCAGACCAACTGGCTGATTTCCTTGGTCACGATATCAGAATCCACAGACAGTATTACCGGTTACCAGAGGGAACACTGCAGCTGGCAAAAATGAGTAAAGTCCTAATGGCCATGGAGAAAGGAACACTGTCTGACTACAAAGGAAAGAAACTTGATGACATTGAAATTGACCCAAATGGTATGAGTATATTTAGTCTGTGTGTATCTGTGCTGTACTTATTTGCAAAACACATCATGTCACAGATACTAAGTATAAGCAATATAGTGTTAATTTTATTGTCATTTAATTATTTAGAGCAACTTGAGGCCCAAGGTGATTCCATGTCAAGTGATGAGGAGGACTACAGTGACCTATCTCAGACAACAGCACCAGCAGAGACTGATCGACCTGTTCAACCTGTTCAATCTGATCAACCTGTTCAACCTGTTCAATCTGATCAATCTGTTTCACAGGTGGATCAATGTAAGAAAAATCTCTAAACTGCACAAACAACAATAATCAAATAAACATGAATTAGCTCCAAGCAGCAATATCCAGCCAAATTCAAATAATCAACACATGAGGACACAATCTTGATTTGGTCTTTACTCACCGATTTAGTTGTAATGAGAATTTACTTTTTAACTATTTCATAGGTTCTTCACACGCTCCAAAAAAGAAATGGGAGGACAGTGAGGTAAAAGCAGTAGAGAGACACATGATGAAGTTCATCAAGACATGCAAAGTTCCTGGTAAGCAAGACTGTGAAAGATGCATTCACGCAGAGCCAGAAGCTTTGAAGCAGCGAACATGGACTGGTGTGAAAAATTATGTGCGGAACAGGATCACGACTCTTAAAAGAAAGGGTGGTTTGTAGGGAGCCATCAACACTTCAACACTTTGCATATTATGCTCTTTTTGTAAGAAATTGAGCTTAATTAAAAGAAATGAGGATAAAGGTGTAGAAATATTCTGAGGATGGAATGAAACAGAATATAAAGTGAAAAGTTAGAGTATAAGAAAGCTAATGAAGAAGTAG